TAACCCCCCGATTCCAGGTGCTCTCTGTTCACGTGCTTCCAATTCATGCCCAAGTACCACGCCTGTAGAGTTAATAGATTATAGCTTTGTAGAAGCTCTCTATGGCAACAGCACATCATACACTACAATGCTTGCAAGTATACCTGCTGGAGCTTGCTGGAATGAGACCTTGAATTATTGGGGTAGCAAGGAGTTCTACGAGGTACTACCCTTAGCGGAAATCTTCAACAGTGAAGGGAGACCGTTGAATAAAGGAAATCTAGAAGGATGCCCAACTATTGACAATTGTTTGAGCCAAGATTGCTTCTCAGTTCTCAACAGCGATGAAAAGATACCAGCTTGTCTCCAGTGTAACGTGAACATGTTTCAAAGTGAGAACTTAACGTCTTGCGAAAACGGTCCGTGCCCTGGTCCTCCGGATCCCGACTGTGTTGGTAGTACAACTCAGCGTTTCTGCGGCTACAACTCAGTCTATACGTCATGCAATGTGACTGCGGGATCAGGTGGCATAGTGTCGGCATGCTTTGCTAGCCAGTGTTGCAATGCACTTCCAGTTTCACCAAATGTAGGAACCGGAATTGTTAAATGTCCAGGCGAATGTGTAATCCCGCCATCTCCTACTGCATCACCTACTACCTCACCATCTCCCAGGACAACCCCATCTGTAACCCCGACCGCAAGTACAACTCCATCTGTAACCGCGAGCGCAAGTGTAATAACACCATCTGTAACCGCGAGCGCAAGTACAACACCATCTGTATCCGCGAGCGCAAGTGTAACACCTTCGGCAACTCCCACCGCAAGCCCAAGTCCGTCAGTCACCACCACTCCTGTACCAGGTATGACAAGTTTAGTAGTGATTTACGTGGACTGAAATCCCATGTTTCGCCATTTCGTGTTTAAACTACAGATCATAACCAATACATACAATCCTTGTATTTTATAGCCTGCTACCCGGCTAGGAATGATCTTGATTTTGGGAATGCTCCGCTTGATACGAGATGTGGAACATTCTGTGTACTTGCTGGTGTTTTGATCAGAACTGGGGCTTTCGACGCCGTCAATTGTGTTCGAGCCGAATTTGATGCTAGCGGTGACACCAATCTACAAATACGAAGTCTCGCATCACAGCAAACCATCGAGGTCCCACTCATGTAAGCCATCAGATCAGCACACGGACACAATTGAACGCATCCATATATCAGGCTCTCCACATCGCTCTGTCCTAAAACTTTTCACTGCCTGATCAAAACGATATTCTTGAAACTTATTCTTGAACTTTGTCACATTGTTATGGGTTTTGAACGTCGAGCACCGTTAACGTTTCCATTTTATCAATTTTGCAGTGGATTCAGCAATCAAGACTTCGATGCCAGCACGACACTGGCGCATATCATTGAGCCGAATACAGTACTGTAAGTAAAATTCGAACTGCTTCAAATCTTTCAGAGATTGAGCGTCCATAACAGTATCAAGAAGGTATCTTTGGTCTACTGACTCACATTTCGCCAACAGAATTTGCTAACATCAACCCTTATTTTTGCTGACAAAACATTCGAGGAAACCGGTGTCACAACAAAAATACTGGGCGAAATCAGTGCGGAAGCGATAACCCTGTAAGTGGCACATCCGAGTTTATCATCAAATTT